CAGATCCATTCTTTGACTGTTTCTATTCAAAGGATAATAGAAACAATGTCTGAAATTCCAAGCTCTATGGACTGTAGCTACACATGTAAATGTGGTGCTAATCTGACAATACGAACACTAAAAACTTCTACATACTACAGATTAAATCTCACTTTTTTACACTTCTGATGCCCTAGACTATGCTGCAGAATATAACGCTATATATGCTCCTCAGAGATTGCAGAGTATAAATGCTAAAAGTTTTGCTTTTGTTTTTAACTTTACAGAATTACATCACATCCTGGGGCACAAAACCTAAAAACCAAAACAAACCCAAACCCAAACAACTCATAAAACTAAAAACCTGTGTCGTATTTTCTTTCCTAAGAAAGCCTTGTTCATTTCAATGAGCAATTAACACTGAAAGCTAAAGCTAATACAGTCTTTTATTTTATACAGTCTAAACCTCAGACAACAGATACAAATCTGAAGCTGAGGGACTACTGGGATGGTGTGAGCAAACTATGGGAAAGGATGCAGGCTACGGGGAAATCAGACGCTGTGAAGCTTTGAAGGAGACAGGTCCTAGAATAAACTTCCCCTTGTATTATCTGTGCATATCCAGATCCCTACAGTGTTGCTGAATTGCAGTTTTGTTTTTAAACAGATAACCCCTAGGTTACATGCATCAAAATACAGTAACTGCTTGTCAATATTTTGTTGGTTTTATTGTTGATCATGTAAGTATGCGGTCAGAATGTTTTCTGCCTATGTTGAAATCCAAACTGTCTCCCCATGCCTCACTGGGTACAAAAAGCCCCTTATCTAGTTGCCAAAATTGCAGTTTCTTCCTCTGCCAATCTCTACGACAGTTATGCACCATGGGTACACAAATCTGACACATCCACAATGTTGAATTTGCCATCAAAATACATGAAGTTTTGGGCTGCCTACAATTCAGATTAAAGGAAGTGAAAAAATTTTTTATTTATACGAAATTTTTGTAAAGTTCCCAGGTGGAGAAAAAGGATAGGAGGGGATGACAATTGCTTTTATCTCAGAAATAGCAGTTTCACAGTGCTCTCTCTTATGCATTTATCTGAGAGCATTTAATTCCTCCATACTCCTCAGACCTAGATGGATTTTCACAAATTAGGTAAGTAAATTTTATTCTAAAAATAGCTTATAATAAACTTTTTCCCCCCTCCCCTTCCTCAAAATATTTCTGGGGACAAAAAGTAATTGAGGTAAATCAATACATTCTTGACCTACTTCTCTGGCTTGTGAATGAAGTCCTGTTTACCTGTAGCTTCTACTCCAATTAATTCTGTGAAAGCTCAAAAGGAACAAATTCTGAACTTTTGTCTGACTGAAGAATCCCCAGGCCTCCCAGCTCTCTGCCAGCAGATGAAGCAGCAAGTCACCTATCCCTCTGGCTTACAGGATGATGTTTTCTCTGCCTCAGCACTCTTAGAAAGGGAAAAATATAACAGCAGCTAAACTTAACCTTTTATTTGATAGTAAAGACAAATGATTCAAAATAAATGACAGAAAACATTTTCTAAAATGAGGTAATTGGGTTATTTTTCTGGAAAAGGAGATAAAACTTTGCACTGAAGTCAACAAACTTGTTATTCTAATGAATTCTAAAGAGTAGAGTTTATAAAAGGATAGAGAAGAAACACATAGAGGTACATTTTCTTTTAAACTGCCTATGGGCTTCCTCAAATGCTTACGCTTCTTTTGAGAGCTCTACTGTACTTCCTGCCTTCT